GGAGATTAATATATTGGACTTTTATTTATTTTATCTTATATATTTTATTGGACACAACCCGAGCTGTAATTGAATTTACACGCTCGCAGTGTTGAATGGGCCAAGCATCACCTTAATGACAACCGGAAAAAAATATTATTTACTGATGAGACAGCATTTCAGTTGTTTCAGAATACAATTGAACATTGGTATAAAGATAAATGTCCAGTTTGTCATATGCCAAAAGATTGTAGAAAAATTTTTGCTTGGGGAGGTTTTTGTGCAAAGGGGTTGATGTCTTTATTTTGCTTCCAGCAGATAATGGATGGTGAAAATCATCTTGGTGAAGTTAATAAAATGCTTGGAAAGAAGTGGTGCTTTCAACAAGATAATGATCCCAAGCACACAAGTCGAGTAGCTAAAACATTTCTTGCTGATAATGTGCCCAAGGTTATGGATTGACCCTCTTGTAGTCCCAACCTTAACCCTATAGAAAACTTATGGGCCATTGTCAAACACAATGTTGAAAAATGAATGCCCCAAAATTTAGATGATTTGGAGAGGTTTTTGACAGAGGAATGGAATTCTATTCCAAATTCAGTTTTAAATAATTTAGTAAATTCAATGAAACACTGTTGTGAGTTGGTTATTGAAAGTAATGGTGAACGAATCAATTTTTAAGTCTAATAAAGTCTGTTCTATAACTTTTTTGCTTTTAAATAGTATATTTATCATTGGGTTTGGTGTGATTTTTATGAATCTATGACGAATTTCATATAGTTAAGTTTTTTTTTCACACACTGTAGTTTTTTAATGTTCATGCTTATAAAAAATGTTGAGAAGCCTAAATTGCCCAAACTAATTTGGGCTTTGAGAAAACAGTTTGGACCAGAAACCATAGGCATGACATTGCCACATGTGACTCTAATGATTGATGAAAATATGTGGTGATGAGCAGGGCTCCTTCTTGGGACCAGTTGGATATCCTTTCATTTGATTTTGATTGCCTGAAGGTGAATAAAGATGTTGTGACTGAATACAGAAGATTAAATCTTTTACTAAAACAGTCTAAAAAAAATATGATTAATTAATATTAACAAATGAATTAATTTATGACAAAACATTTCATCAGGTATCATTTAATCATGACATCATCAATGACACATTTTTGATATTTAACTTTAGTAATTGTCAATTAGTCCATCATTTATCATTCTATTTTATTTATTTTATTTTATTGGACAAAATCATGTAAAAAGTCATGTTATTTGTAATACTTCAAGAAGTATAAATATGCATGAAATCTCCTTCAGTGAAAAAAAATTGATTTTTCAATAATGACACTTTCATCAATTGATTCATAACCCTTTCTGATGATTAATGGTTTGGTCAACATTTAATTATGAGTTAGGAACCCCTTTTATTGGTTTTACTATATTGCTTGTAGGGACGCCTCAAGTATCGTAGTTGTGCTAGATTTGATGACTTTGCAATAGAGCAGAGTTTCTATTCGTAATACCAATTTTTGTTTGAATTATTCAAATCATTTAGTTATTTGAATTGTATCATTCGTTTGTTTGAATTGTAACATTCGTTTATTATTCGAATTGTTATCATTCTTTTATTATTTGAATTGTTATCATTATTTATTATTTGAATTGTGTATCATTCGTTTATTATTTGAATAGTTATCATTCGTTTATTATTTGAATAGTTATCATTCATTTATTATCCGAATTGTTATCTATCATTCATTTATTATTCGAATTGTTATCTATCGTTCGTTTATTATTTGAATTGTCATCATTCGTTTATTGCTATTATTCGAATTGTTATCTATCATTCGTTTATTATTCGAATTGACACCATTCGTTTTATTATTATTATTATTCGAATTGACATCATTCATTTATTATCATTATTATCATTCGAATTGACATCATTCATTTATTATCATTATTATCATTCGAATTGACATCATTCGTTTATCATTCGAATTGACATCATTCGTTTATCATTCGAATTGATATCATTCGTTTATTATTATTATTCGAATTGACATCATTTGTTTATCATTATTATTCGAATTGACATCATTCGTTTATCATTATTATTCGAATTGACATCATTCGTTTATTATTATCATTCGAACTGACATCATTTGTTTATCATTCGAATTGTATCATTCGTTTTGCTTGAATTATTCATTTTATTTAGTTTATTCGTTTTATTATTCGAATTGTTGTCATTCGAACAATTTGTTTATTCGTTTTATTCAAACTACACAGTAAGTCTCGGTATAGCGGACCTCGGTATAGCGGATGTCTAATAAAACTCTCGGTTTAACGGATCAAAGCTCAGAACCGTCTATAAGTAAATTCTCTCGGTTTAACGGATTTACTAATTAAATCTTGAATTAATCTCGGTATAACGGATTTTTGAAATTTTTGTTCTAATTGCCCAAATTATCCGCTATACCGAGACTCACTGTGTATTGATTGTAATCATAATTAATTAGGTTACTGTTTTTGCAATGCTTAGATGAAGAATGTTCAGGACAACAGCAAAAGGATGCGGAGGGCAGGTTCTTGTTTTCTTCCTTATGTTTTTACTTGCTGCGCCAGCGAACAAAAATTAAATTTAATAATTCTTTCAATATTTAGAGTATTTAGAATATTTTAGTATATTATAAGATAATTACAAAAATTTTAATTCCTGAAATATATTCCAACATTGAACGAGGTAATGATAATTTATTAGATTCTAATTTTTTATCATTGTTATCTGTGTATTCGGAATTGGTATAGAAAGCGTTTACTACATCGACCGCCAGTAAAACTGAAAATCTACAGATATGATTTATTGTTAATAATATTAATTATGACTAATATTTTTTAGAATTAATTTCTTCACATAAATTAATGTCAATCAATTAAAATACCTCTCATTATTTGAAAGTTCTTTTAAGAAACTTTCGAAAACCTTTTGTGAAAGATGAATATCTTTAATTCCAATTTCCAATAATTTATCTAATGATAATTGATTTTTCAATTTGAATTCATTCATTGTGTCTTCGCTAATTGACAACTATACATCATCATCATCATCATTGTTATTATTATAATCGTTATTATTAGCGTTATCATTCTCTTATTATTCATCATATTATTATTTATGTTATTTTATAATGAGTGACGTACACTTTCTAGAATTATACGATTGACTTTCTTAATTTGACTCAACAATAAAGTTGCAGATGAACATCCAAAAAAGATCACAATTTAGCATTTGTTGTTAGTTCTTCTTTTACATCATCATCATCATCAGCAT